TAATAATAATAATAATAATAATAATAATAATAATTTATTTTTAAGCACCTTTCAAGGACACTGTACAGTTACAATTAAAATAAAAATAATACAGTGATAGTAGTAAGTAAAACATATTTTACATATACAACACATTTAGAATATAACTGACAATAATAAAGGAAACCAAAGGGGAATGAGACTATGACATTTAGCAGACTAAACAATAAAGGGCACAATAAGATTGAGTGCAAGAATCATTGGGTGTGAGCAAATGCAAGGAGGAGGTTTTTAATTGCGTTTTAAAATGTTGCAGGGAGGTGAAGGCATGGAGATGGAGAGGGAAGGAATTCCACAGTTTAGGAGCAGCAACACTGAAAGCCCTGTCTCTGATGGTGCGGAGGCGAGAGGACAGGACAGCAAGCAGGTGAGTGTCAGAGGATCTAAGCGTGTGTGCAGGTGTGTATGGGAGAAGGAGGATAGATAAATAAGTGGGGCCGAGACCATGCAGCGACTTAAAGACCAAAAAAAGCATACTATATACAAAAGGGAAAGTGTAACTTTTGGAGTATGGATGTGATGTGTTCACACGGTCTTGTGTGGATGAGTTTTGCTCAGACAGTAGTTGTTAAGACCCTGCACTGGGAGTCTGTATAGAACACCATCACAGTAGTTGAGCCTGGAGGTAACAAAAGCGTGGATGAGTGTCTCTGCTGAAGGGGGGGAAAGAGAGGGACGAAACCCGGTAATGTTCCTCACATGAAAGAAAGCTGTTTTAATAATGTTCCATACAGTAATTTTTATGTGTGATTGATATGAGATCGTGGAGTCCAACATGACCCCAATGCTTGTGTGGGTGGGGATGCAGTCAGTATGACCTCAGATTTGTTATTGTTAAGCCTCAGAAAGGTAGAATTTATCTAAGTCTTTCGGTCCAGACAAAGTGCTGGAGGAGGCAGTGTGTGTGAGGGCTCGATATGTATGTAAATCTGAGTATCACCAGCATAGCAATGAAACTGCAGGCCGTGCTGCCTGATGATATTACCAGCAAGGAGCATATATATATGATAAATAACTTAAATCACTAGCCTCTTACTACAACTAAAAAAACTATGCTTGTTATGCTACCAAGAAACTGCAAAGCCCTCCATCCTGAAGACTTTCCTGTATCTGAAAACATAAAGTTACAGCTTTACCACAAAACTGGCACTGGAGACTCCTTCCAAAAATTCAAACTGATAAAAAGAAAACAGAAAACACACCACAGCAACAAATATACACACATTTTAATCCATTCATCTGGTGAGTCTTCTATACAGGTCCCTGTGTAAGTTGTTACATAATTGTTATAATAGAAACAATAACATATTACATCAAGCACATTAATACTATAAACCTTGTAGCCAGATATATTGTCAGAGCTGCTGTTATTGAAAATGAATCTTCTGTCCAATTGGATTCAAGAATTTAACAGCGCTGTTGCATAAATGACAAATAAAGAGGCAGTTACCCTGCATGAAAATAATATATCCAACATTTGATTATTTTCAGATAAGACCTGGGTTATCCCACCACCATTACCACCATTTCCATCTTTGGCATTACAGGCGAGTCCTTTAATAAAATATCCACTTTATTATCATATCATGATCTTGACAGGAGTCTTCTGAATGAATGCTCTCAGCCATAGACAGTCCCAGACTCTCTGGTGACTCATGCCAGTCTATGATGCTAAACAGGTACACTGCACTTAATATAGTCTGCTCTTACAGCATTATGCCAGACCTCGTTCAGCTACTTACCATATCAAAAGTGAGAATCACATTGACATGCCTTGCACCCTGCCTTCCAACCACTCACACTTTATTTAATTCAGTCTGAAATGCTGTTAGGCTAAAATAACATTAGCTTTGCATGTTTCTTTTGAGGAAGAAAAAGAGGTGGCATGTTTGGAAAATGCTGACATGATTTTCAAGACTGTTTCAATAATTTTATTTTTGGAAGTTTTTATGAGTGATGAAGAAAATCGTCAGGATGCTTTGAAACGCTGATATGAAACACATATTCAAATTGGATTTCAGCCTATATTTATATATGTACAGTACCATGCAAAAGTCTTAGGCACCCTGACTTGTACATTATCGAGTCAGTACAAAAACATTCTGGATTTCCAAACATACGTTTTCCAGCACAAAATTAAATGTTACAGAAAAATGTTTGCATGTCAGTAAATAAAGCAGCATCTTTACATTTCATTTAATTATTTCTGAAGGCATCTTTGCTCTACAGCATTTCTTTGCATGTGCATAAGACTTTATCTTATATATATATATAAGATATATCTCCATACAGAATGCTTAGCTTGTGTTTTTCTTGTTATTATGATTTGATTTTCCCCTCCCTTCTGCGATCATCAGTATTCTTGTCACTTGCGTCTTTATGTGTATATTTCTGTTTTGATATTCAACTCATTCTACGGGTTTTCTTTGGATTTATATCTTGGCTCTGACTGGGCCATCCCAAAACTTCTATTTCTGAAGCCATTCCTCTGAAGCGAAGTGAAGTGACGTGTGGCCAAGTATGGTAACCCATACTAGGAATTTGTGCTCTGCATTTAACCCATCCAAGTGCGCGTGCGCGCGCACACACACACACACACACACACACAGGGAGCAGTTGGGGGTTCGGTGCCTTGCTCAAGGGTCTCATCTCAGTCGTGGTATTGAGGGTGGAAGAGAGCGCTGGTCATTCACTCCCCCCACCTACAATCCCTACTGGACCTGAGACTTGAACCCATGACTTTCAAGTTCACCTTCAGGTTATAAGTCCAACTCTCTAACCATTAAGCCACAACTGTTGACTTGGATGTGTGCTTTGTGTCATTATCATGGTAGATAATATTTTTTTCTTCAAAACGTGTTTCCATCTAGCCACCCTACCCCATAGCCCAGATATGTGAAGAATATGAGAGATTGTTGTCACATGCATGGCGTACTTGCCAGATATTCCTGTAGCTCCTTTTGTCAATTTTGGAGGGACGTCCTATTCTTGGTTGTCACTGTGGTGCCCCATTTTCTACTTGTTGATGATGGCCCTCACGGTGTTCCATGGTACATCTAATGTTTTGGAAATTCTTTTGTACCCCTCTCCTGATCAAAATAAGATCTCGTACATGCTTTGTAAGCTCTTTGTTGGACCATGGCTTCAGCAGTAGAATGAAACTGAGAAGATATCAAGTAAATCTCACAGAAACAGCTGATCTTTATTTGAATCACTTCATTGATGTCAGGTATATGATCATTACTTTTGAACATGAGTTTGAATGTGATTGGTAAATTCTGACCACAGTCACTTGCCCCATTATGAAAAGGACACACTTGCAACCAGGTTAGTGTAAGGGGAATTTTTTTTCTTTTTCTTTATTAACTGAATTGTGTGGCTTACTATATCACATTAAGAGTGGAAAAAGATCTGATACGATTTAACCTTAATGTCATTTTTTCTTCACGAAAACCTGCAATTTTAATAGGGGTGTGTAGACTTTTTAGATCCATTGTATCTGCTGCCAATTTCAGTACTCAAATTAAGGCTATTCATACATAATTCCTAGCAAGTGTAATACAGGGTCTTATAAAGTACCTAATAGTCACATTTCACAAGGAATTTGGATAAAAAGAATGATACCCTACTGGCAAATGCCTCAAGCACAAGGTAAGGAGAAAACTTGAATAGATGTTTTAAAGTTTGCATTCCCCGTGGAGACTGAGGGGGGAAAAGAAAAACATATTTTTCTCTATTTTACATATTATCTAAAGGAAAAATGTAATTCCCAGACGTTAAAAAATGAAATATGGGCATATCCTGCTAATCATAAGACAAACTCAGTCAATATTACAAATTTGAGGATCCCAAAGCTTATAATATTTATAAAAGGAATTGAGGTTATTTGAGAACATTTATAGGGAAATGCAAGCATTTGAATATTGTTTCATATTATTATTTTTAACATACACCATTAGACTATGACAAAATTAAGAAATTTAATATACAGCAGTAACCATTTACATAATTTTCCAGATTTCTTTCAAATTCAAATGCTTATTAGAAAAAGGTGACTCAAAGATGTATTTGCAGTTGCATGCCCCTCATGAATGCACATACAGTAATTTGAGACATTTAAATTCTATAGCAAAACGTATACTTACATTTGTGTTTGATTGACAGGGCTACATCCATGACAGTGGAAATGCAAATGAGATTGTGAAGGAGTTTTATTTTTGGCGGAGTTGTGGCGTGAGGATAAGAACGTGCATTCGCGAATGGAAGGATTGCTATTACGTTTTCTATATGGCAGAATCAGACCTGTTTAGACACTGAAATGAAATGTCAGTGGACTTTGTATTTGCAGTTTAATTTTGGCAGTCACTGTATATGGCTGTGCACAAAAATGCAAATGATAATATACATTTTGCAACTGAATTTGATATATGTCTCAGATTATGTGCGCTCATAAGAGGAGTGCAATTCCAAACCCAAGTTTAAATGAGCATTTTTCTAATAAGCATTAGAATAAAATCCAGAAATTGCTGCCATAAGTAGATCATTTGTGTTATTTGTGATAATGAACTAAAAACAGTAAATATATTGTTAATGTATATTTAATGTCTTAATTTTAAAGGAATTCAGTAGTGCAGGCTACAAGACAGTTGCAGGCTTATATTAATGCGCTCGGTCTAATATGTAATGTGTCTATAGTAACAGCTCATTCACATGGACTTGTATGGGTAGACACTCCACATAATCTAAGTCAAATAATAAATACATGAACAACGTGTTATTTAACAAAGAAAAACATAGAATAATTGATATGGTGAAGCTTTCTGTACGGAAGGTGTTTCTGAGAGGAAAAATAGTTAACATCTAGAGACAGAAATAAAAGAGGCTGATGACTGATTATAGCTGCTACGTAGCTGCTGATGACTGATTATAGCTGCTATAACATAAGTGATAACAGTAACTTGGTCCACAACATTAAATGTAACCATAAACAGATTAGAAAATGTACACTGTCATTCTTTAATTAATAAAAAGAAAATAATTGCAAATTGCTGTGGTGTACGAGGAACATGCTGTTATTGTAAAATAATGAACTTTGATGGGCTTTACCCCACCTCACACTCCTGTCATATTTTATTCCTTACCCAAGTATCCACTGCACAGCATATGCACTTAAGTACTCGGGTATATCAAATATAGAGAAAAAGCTGAACACACAAAGATTTTTACCTGTAAAAACAACATCCATTTTGAAGAATCACCAATATGCTTTTCACTATTTTTTCCATACTGTGGTGAACATTAAGCCTATAACAGTCATTTAAATATGCACAAATTAAGGAAATAACCCAACTTTTGCAGATGTACAGGGCAGAAATGATGGAGGGTTCACGCCATATGAAGCATGAGCAGGTCATAACCTTGGTAGTGTTAGTTAACTTTGTTCAGCTTTCACACGATACAATACAATTTTGATTTCAATTTGTAACGTGGAGAGTCATGACAACGGAGTTGGGGATCCAAATGCAAGGCTTTATTTACAAACGTGGTCAAAACAGGCAGGGTTGAGCACCAGCAAACAGTATAATCTGAGGCAGAGGCAAAAGAGTAATCCAAAACACAGGCAATGGTCAGGGCAGGCAGTAAACAATCAAAAACAAGGGAAACAGTCCACGTGTCAAAAACCAATCCAACCAAGGAACCAATCCGAACATAACACACAAACAAGGGTAGCACATGTCAAGATCACAGGTGGGGCAAGGAACACATGGGAAATGGAGTCCAGAGCTGGCGATCGTAACATAGGCCCCCTCCTAAGGAGTGGCTTCCAGACTCTCCTCAACAGGAATAGACATGAGTCCAGGAGGTGGGTGGAGTGGAGGCGGAACAGGGGGAGGGATGGAGGGCCAGAGAGGTTAATAATGGCCTCTGCGGTTGAGACAGGACAGGCTGACAGTTCACAGACGGCCTCCATGGCCGTGACAGGGCAGGCGAAGAGCTCGGAGACGGCCTCCTTGGCCGTGACAGGGCAGGCAGAGGGTTCAGAAGCAGACGCTGCCAACTCGGGAGGCTCTGCAGTAGGAAGCTGCCACCTCGGGAGTTGGAACGGGCTTTGGAGGGGATTCGAGGACTGGAGCAGGCTCTGGAGCAGATTCGAAGACTGGAGCGGGCCCGGGGGTAAATTCACGGACTGGAGCGAGAACAGAGCAGTGTGTAGCCCAAACACACAGGATGGCAACCGCCATTACAGGGAGCACTGAGGATAGAGGAAGTGTCTCTGTGACGACCAGTGCTGAAGCTCTTGGAATGCCTGCTGCACTCACCAACATCAACGGTGGGTCTGTCAGACTGGACACCAGCCTCAAATGCCCTTAGAACACCTTGGTGTCTTCAAACGCAACATCCACGATGCTCGGGAATACTGGAGTGACATCCATGATGGCTGAAGACTGAGGCTTGACATCCATAACGGCTGGAGGCTCTGGTGTGACAGCCATCTTGGGAAGTGGCTCTGGGTTGGCGGCCATCTTGGGACAAGGCTCTGGACTGGTGGCCATCTTGGGACAAGGCTTTGGACTGGCGGCCATCTTGGGACAAGGCTCTGGACTGGGGATCACAGAACAGGAAGGTGCAGAGAACACAGGAGTGGCGACCATAATCACAGGACCTGCTGGTGGTCATGATGGGTCAAGCTTCGCTGCTGCCAGAGCTTGCCGCTGTTGTCCAGGGTGGAGTGCCCTCTAGTGGAGTTCATGGGTACTCCAGGTGCGATCCTAACACAATTCTTAAGGCAATGATTCGATATTTGACGATACCACTGAATTTATTAGCCTTGAATCGTTATGTGGTTACTTACCAATTTGCGAATGATGGTGCCATAGAAAAGGACTATTTAAGCATCTGAGTTATCGCCAAATAACTTTGCTAGCCTATTTACACATCGATTTACATACGTGAATTATTTTTTACACACTATTTGTTTGTCCTTGTTCAATAATAATTGACTTACACTATAATCAACTATGATTCATAATAAGCAGATTATAATCAATTATAATTGATTTCTACTGTATAATGATTGTTGCCTCTATTCATGTCAATCAGTGCCTTTTAATCGATACCCTGATCCAGATAGTCTGATTGTTACACCTAGCAGCTACTTAATTAAGTAAAAAAGAAAAATACAGGGAAGTAATGTGTGTGTGCATGTGTGCACCTTTAGATATCTAGCTGACACAAGGTAACAGCAAGATTTCTAAGATGTTTTTTTTAATCTATAAAGTGTATACAGTCGGTTTCAGTAAAAACAAAGAGTCAATCCAAGCTTCCAACACAACATGCCTTTTCTAAGTTTCAGGAAGTAGTTATCAGGTTAGCTCTGGTGCTAATATAATTTATCAGCTCAGCTCACAATGATATATACATGAGTAAAGTAGAACTATTCCCAAGACATATTAAAGCAGAGCTATTACTATAAACCACCGGTAAGGCATTGCATGAATTAATAATTAAAAAGAGTAATATAATGCTCTAAATATAGTCCATCAAAAAATAAATAATCCATCACACTTTACTACATTAGAAATGCTAATAAAAAGCTTATATATTGATTTTATGTTATGTTAACAGTCTCTGAAATGGGTATTACATTTCTTCTTTTTGTTTTCCAGCACTTAATATTTCAGCCAATGTGTTAATGTTTTAGTAGATTTTATGACCAGAAGATATTTAGAATATTGGTGTTACAACTCAAGAATCTGGTTTTAAGATGGAAAAGGTAAAAAGAGTTCATCTAAGAAG